CATGTTCTGACGACACGAGCCACACACTATTATTCATATAATAGCTATTATGTATGTGAATAATAGGATGACTTGCATTATTATGTAAAAAGTTGTAGTGGATGAATTGCGACATCAGTTGGTTGTCCACAAGCTTACAATTTTATCTTTTTTTTTTTATTTTTTTTTATAGAGTTTACAATTTTATTTTAATTTTACTCGAACCTGTTAGATATTGAATTTTGTAATATGAGTTAATCAGTTTTATTTTTTTAATTAATATATTATATACTTTTAACATTAACAAATGAAGTAAAAAAAAACTATTGAAAATAAAAAAGAAAAATGAAAAAAAATAATTTTTTAATTAAGAAAAAAAAAAAAACTTGTAAAACCCTAATTTCCATTTCGTACCCTTTTCCAACGTGTTGTCCCCTGTGAAACGACCTCTGGCTCTGGGTCTGCTCTTCCCGCCTCTTTGTTGTCTCCTCTATCGTCTTTCCTTGCAACTCTCCGGAGCTCACCAAATATCTGAAAGAGGTTTGTCCAGAAAATGAAATAATTAATACATTTTGTTTTAAATTATATAGTTTTTGTATATGGCACAATTGTTTTTATTTTCAATACATTTTTTTTTTTTTAGAGTCACGATGAGAGAGAGCAGACGGTACCAGAGGAATTCTCAAGCGATCACAGGACAGGGGGAGAGCAGACGGACAAGAGCTTTCGAGGATCAAAAGAGACTCGGAAGGTTTTCGAAGTTCAGCAAGACGCTGTTGATGAACTCATGGTGCTATCTCGTCTCAAACTTCCCAGAGGAATGGAGTTCAGAGAAATTGTGGTTGTTGTTTTCAAGATATGGCAAAGTGTTAGATGTTCATGTCTCCAAGAAACCGGATAGACGGGGAGGAAGATATGGGTTCGTAAGATTTCTTAATGCCAGAAGCTCATCGGAGCTTGAAGAGAGATTGAACAGAGTATGGATTGACTCATATCATCTGAAAGCAAAGTTTATATATTATGGATGGAAAGAAGAAGGATTTGATAGAGTGCGAAAAGAAGATGGACAACTAAGGGGCGGATAAAAAGGAAAATCAGAAAACCAGATGGGTGGTAAAAGAGGCAGTGAAGAAAGCTAACAGGGAACAAGTCGTGGTGAAAGAAGGGGTTCGAAGCAACGGAAAGGACTCGAGATCCTTTGTTGATGTGGTCAAAGGGAATCAACAGGTAAGAAGTGATCGGAATGGAAAAAGTGAGGACTCATGCAGTGAGAAAAAGATGCATGGGATGACAGTTGAAGAGGGGAGAAAAGACGTAGGGGTTGAGTATGAAGTAGATGAAAAGGATTATCAATGGCTAGAAGCATGTGCAGTTGGGTATGTTAACGCAGTGGAAGTGATCCCATCCTCCAGGATATCCTGGAGATGGGGGGATTCTACAAAATTGCAGTGGTCCCTATGCGCGAAAGCATGGTATTGCTAAAGTGTGAAGACAAGGATCTGATAAGGAAGTTGGTGGATTCTGATCAAGGCTGGTTAGACAATGGTTTGAGAGGGTAAAGATGTGGTCTCCTTTTGACATAAGCCAAGAAAGGTTTGCATGGATTCGAATTTTTGGCTTACCTCTTCATGCATGGAATGAACCGGGTTTTAAATTAATAGGAAATCAGTTTGGTCAGTATATTTATGCAGATCAAGACACTTCAAGCAGAAGTTGTTTAGAAGAGGCGAAGCTTTATGTCAAAACCACAAACCAAGAGATAATCAATGACTCTATTGTAGTGAAAATAAAGGGTCATAATTTTAGAATTACTATATCTGAGGAACGATGGAGAGCAGATCCGTTATGGTGGGTGAAGCGGCAAGGAGCAAGCAAGATCAAAGGAAGCTATTCCGAATCTAGTTTCTCATAATTTTTTGAGGAGTTCGTTGAATTTTCCAGTGAGGACGCTGGCATCACTAAGGAGGTAGGGGTGGAAGTTGAAGAGACAGTGATAGAGCATAGCTCTTGCAGCCAACGGCTAAATCTTGGAAATGATCAAAAGA